CATTCTGTCCGTATGCTAATGTGCCAATCGGCAGACCAGTCAGCAGTCCTATGGCTTAGTGCAGTCCCCAGAGATAGCACCGATCGTTGATAGTTCAATATCGTACCAACTTGAACCATATTTTTTAACTTGTGCACTGCTGTCGAAGTTAAGACGATGGGTTATTTCTTTGATATCAATGATGGGAGTTGATAGAACGTGCCTTCGCCTACGATCGCAGTACATTGGGATGATCCATTGCTTTAAAGTCACCCTTTATGGTAAATGTGTTCAGCGTGTAGGTAAGGCTATTCGATTAGCTTCAGAATATTCGTTACCTCAAGCTGTTCCTCTGAGAGCAACGCAATACGGCCCACATTTTCCATCAACACCAAAAGCAAATCGGCGCCGTTGACACCCCCGAGTGTTTGAGTAACGAAATCACTCGATAGATCAGACCTGGCTGGAGCGTCCACAGCATCAACAGGTTGCGGTCGAAGCATGATTCCAGGTATCCCGGGCCCTAAATACATTGGATGGATCGAAATGAGACGTTAATAATTGTACGAGGTGCTTTATCAATCATCTTATTAGCACATTGAAAATAATACTTGGTAGCTATATGAGGTTTGAGCCTTTCACCTACTCGAACGGTTTTTCTTACAGTTTTTTTGAAAGGCAATATTTCTTATTCATAGGAAAATTATAAAGCTGTCTTGACTTATAGTATACGTTGGACATTTTCTTTCGTAGAACTTATAATAAATATCTATAAGTTATCTTGTATATAGAGTTGACATTTTCAAACGAGCGTTTTCAGACTCGTGATCAAGTCCTTTTTTGCAAACTTTGTAACTTAACAGCGTAAATATATGCGTAGCGGTTGAATGTTTTAATATAAGACCTATACACTTGTCCACACGCACACATATATATGTACACCTGAGGTTGTAATATAGATACTGATCAGCTTTGCTTTTAGATTTCTTTTTTCGAATTTCTATTTTTAGTATTTCAATGAAGACGCAAGGAAGATGTTCTGTTTCATTCACATGGACCCACGTGAATGCCATACAAATTTATTGTCTTCGTATAGATTTTACTATAATTTACCTCGTTAATATCATCCACATCAACTCCACCATCATCCAGTTATATTTGTCTGCCCCGCTCTGTCTGTGTGTACGCGTTCTCTATCATCCCTTCGGTTGTCGTTTCTCGTAGAAATTTTTTTTGTTAAACATTCGAGTGTCTATCGCCGACCTTCATCGTCATCATCATCCATTTGTTCATCTTGGTTTGAAGTTTTTTCGTCTCTAACAACAGGCGACACCTCTTTCTTAAAGCCGCACGCCAACTTTCATCTCCGTTTACCGACCGCTTACACGAATGGAGCAATCAGAACTACCAATAACCATTCGTTTTCATCTCATAACACACACACATATATATATATATATATATATATATATATATATATATGGTCGTACGATTAGTAAGAAGACTGAATAATCGTAACTATCGTGT